ACCTGAGGCATTGGGCAAGACACTGCGGTGAGGAGCACATAGGGTTGTCCCTTGGGGGACCGACAGTCTGACTGAGGCATGGAAAATTCCTTTAAAGCATGATAAATCAAAGTAACACAGGCTAAGTGTGTAGCTAATTACATGTACAACTAATACTAGAAGCTCCCCCAGGGCCATGCTGGATAGAGGGAAAGGGAGGCAGTGCATTGCTGAGTACCAGGAAGGCATGGGGAAGAAGCAGAAAAAGGAGCCTGGAGCAGGGAAGGCAGGCTGCAGACAACAGGCTTTATTACTTATATTTTTTCATTTTGCTTAAGGACAATCGTGAGGAGCTTCCACTGGGAGCAGTTATCTTCCAGGTGTTTCTGCCATGGAGACCAAGGCTGTTCTGTGCTAACTGCAGCAGATTAGGAAACAGAACGAGAAATGCTCTAGGGACGTGGAGTCTGGAGACGCCTGCCAATGAGCAGACAAGGCCCGGTGAAAAATGAATTGTTTTGGTTTTGTATTTTTTCTTGTTTTATTCTTTACTTTTTCTTAGGGAGCTCTGGTGGCCTAGTGGCAAGAAGCTGCTTTGCAATCCCAGAGGTAGGCAGTTTGAATCCACCAGATGCTCTGCTGGAGAAAGATGGTTCTTGTTAAAGGAATCCTTTTTAAACATAAGATTTCTTGTCCTTTTAGAAAAGATTTGCAAATATGAAAGAGTTAAAAAGAGAAACATCACCCCAAATCTTAAGTCAATCATCATTATAAACTATGACATTTTTTGTATGTTTAGAATATGTTTCATATATATATATACTTGCTTGAGACATAGATAGGCATACAAATATTTTATTATTTGTCTATTTTATGTATACTTATTTTGCTTTCTAAAAATTGAGGTTGACCATTATACCCTTTTTTTAACACTTTGTTAATTTTTTATTCATCGCTATGTGACAGACTTTCTCCATGTTGTTAAATATTCTGTATCATTTATAATGCTAGTGTAGTGTATTACTTGATTTTTTTCCCCTGTTGTTAGTTGCCATCGGCTTGTCTCTGGCTCTTGGTGACTTCATGTGTAGCATAGAACTGCTCCAGGGGCTCTTTGTGGTGACACTTCTGAAGCATATTGTCAGGCCTGTCTTCCAGGGGACCTCTGGATAGGTTTGAACCACCAACTTTTCAGCTAATGGTTGAGTGGTTAAACCACAGCTAATGGTGCTACCCATCTCCTTTATTTGGTTATTCCAAACTCAGTCTTCTATTGTTGGCTATCTCATACTAGTTCCCTAGCTCATAGGATGGCTGTTATGATTGAGCTTTATTTTATAACAGGTAGAGCATTGCCTGTCTCCGAGTAAGCACTGGACCAACAGACAACATGGTTAACAGATGGAGAAAAGACTGAAATTGTCAATGATTTTATTTTACTTGGATCCACAGTCAACATCCATGCTACCAGCACTCAAGAAATCAAGACACATTGCATTGGAGAAATCTGTAAATAACATGTCCATAGTCCTAATGAGTGATGATATCAATTTAAAGAGAAAGGTGTACCCAGTCCAAACCATGGTATTTTAATTGCTTTCTATGCATCTGAAAGTTGGACAGTGAATAAAGATGACAGAAGAAGAATTGATGCCGTTGAGTTGCGGTGTTGGAGAAGAGCACTGAATATCCCATGGACTATCAAGAGAACATATAAATGTGTCTTGGAGGAAGTGTAACCAGGCTGCTCCTTGCAGTCAAGGATACTGAAACTTCATCTCATATACTTTAGACAGACATGTTATTAGGAGGAGACAGTTCTTGGAAAAAGGCTGGAAAAGGTGGAGGGTTAAAGAAAAAGAAGTAGCCCCTCAACCAGATAGAATGACAGGAACGGTGGCCTTGAGCATAACAGAGATAGTAAGGATGAGCAGGATAAGGCAAGGGTCAGCTCTGTGGCTCAAAGGGTTGCTGCGTCATAGACTGGACGGCATCTGACAACAGTAGTACAAGCTGTACATGTGTTTGTCATTATTTAACAAGGGACAACATTTTAATATTACAAACAAAAGCAGTAATAGCCTTACAAACACCTTTTCCTCACATCTGTGTTTCTCATTCCTATAAGTGGCTTTAGAGTTCTATTGCCAAATTACATTAGATGTTGTACCAATTAAATCACATCAGTCCTTTCTGGCAATTTCTGTTTCCTCAAAGCTTTGCCAAGTCTGAATATTTTTTAATCTTAGCTATCAACAATCTGCATTATGCAGATGACACAACCCTGCTTGCTGAAACTGAGGAGGACCTCATGCACTTACTGCAGAGGGTCAAGGACTGCAGCCTTCAGTATGGACTGAGGCTTAATGTCAAGAAGACAAAGATTCTCACCACTGGACCAATCGGCAGCATCAGGATGGATGGTGAAGAGATTGAGATTGTTCACAGCTTCAGTTTGCTCGGCTCCACAGTCAACACTCTTGGCACCAGCAGTCAGGAAATCAAAAAGTGTTTGCGATGGGAAAGGTTGCTGTTAGGGACCTCTCTAAAGTACTCAAGAGCAACGGTGTCTCTCTGGAGACTAAGGTGCACCTGATACAGGCCATGGTTTTTGCAATCACTTGTTATGCATCAGAGAGTTGGACAAATGACTAGGGAGGATAGAAGGAGAATTGACGCCTTTGAGCTGTGGTGCTAGAGAAGAGTATTGAATGTACCATGGACTGCCAAGAAAACAAACAGATTCATCCTGGAGAGGGTTAAACCAGGCTACTCCTTGGAGGCAAGGATTCTGGGGCTTCGCCTGACATACTTTGGACATGTTGTAAGGAGAGACAGATCTTTAGAGAGGGACATCATGCTGGGGAGAGTAGAGGGACAGCGCAGGAGGGGAAGACCCTCTATGAGGTGGATTGATTCAGTGACTGGGGTAATCGGGATGGGTGTGTCAGAGGCAATGCGATTGGCACAGGATAGAGCAGGGTTTAGGGCTGTTGTACATAGGGTCACTATGAGTCACAAACAACTCGACGGCACATAACAACAAGTTTAAAGGTAAAAAAAAATTCTATGGTTACTTCTAGGTTAAATACACATTTACTGTCTGGAATTCCTTTGTGTGAATTGCCTACAATGTCCTTAGCACTCGTTCTACTTAAATTATTTCAAAATATTGAAAAAGAAGGAACACTTTCAGAGTCATTCTATGAAACAAGCATAACCCTAATACCAAAACCAGGCAAAGATAGTACCAAGGAAGAAAACTACAGTCCAATATCTCTGATGAATATAGATGCAAATGTCCTTAACAAAATTCTAGCCAATAGAATCCAAAAACATATTAAAAAAATAATTCAACATGACCAAGTGGGATTCATAATAGGAATGTCCATTTTTTTTAAATGGAGATTTTTTTGGTTTTCTTCTTGCTCTGTGTAAATGTTATTAGTGTTTTGACTTACATGTCATAACCATTTCCCCAGATTGTTATTTGCCCCTCACAGCACTTGGTAATTTTATGCACAAAGTTTTGTATCTTTATGCAATTATGGGGGGCTATTCCTTTTGGTTCTTAAAATGAAGAGCCACAAGGTGGTGGCACAAACAGTTAGGCACTCTCCTACTAGCTGGGAGGTTGTCTGTTCAAATCCACCCAGAAGCACCTTGGAAACAAGCCTAGTCATCTGCTTCCAGAGTTGAAAACTCTATGAAGTTTTTCTGTTCTGCACACAATTGCCATGAATTTTAATCCACTCAAAGGCAACTAATAGCAACCAGAAAAACTTAAAAAGACATGACACAGGATAGGATAGGGTTCAGATCTGTCATTCATAGGGTCGCTATGAGTTGCACTTGACTAGATGGCATTGAAGAATATCCTCAAGATTGGGAGCTCTGCTGGCCTGGTGGTAAGAAGCTGCATTGCAATCCCAAAGGCACATGTTTGAATCCAACAGCTGCTCTGTGGGAGGCTAGGCAGTCTCCTCCCATGTGACTTACTGCCTCTGAAAACCTACTGGAAGGCTAGCCATGGATTGATTCCAACTTGACAGCACACAATAATCACCACCTTAGGAAATGCCTGATTATTTTTATGTATTTTTACATTTAAGTCTTTAATCTAAGTGGAATGTGTTTCTTTGAGTGATGTCAGGAAAGAGCTATCTTCTTTTTCTTTACCAACACTGGTGTTCTAACTGGGTAAGGAGTTAGCTGCCAACTCAGAGGCATGTGATTCAAGTCCAGCAGCTGCTCAGGGAGTGAAAGATAGCATATATGCTCCCACGCAATTTACAGCCATGGAAAATCAGCTAAAGAGTCCCCTGAGGGTTAGTTCCCACTCAGTGGCACATAACAATTCCCATTAGTTTAAAAAGCAACCTTTTTATTTATAGCATATTAAAACTTTAGATGTGTATGTTGTTGTTGTGTACTGTCGAGTCAGAACTGACCCACAGTAAGTTTTCAGAGGCAGTAAATTGCACAGAAGGAGATTGCCCGTAGTTTGTATGTGCGTGTATGGATGGATATGTGGAGAGAGGAACAGATGCCTTTGAACAGTGGTATTGGAGAGGAGTATGAAATATCCCATGGACTGCCCACCCAAACGACAAGCAGTTATGTCTTGGAGAAGGTACAGTGCTCCTGGCAGGCAAAGATGCTAAATTTCATCTCATATACTTAGGGCATGTTGTTTAGAGAGGCTATTCCTTGGAGAAGGACATCATGCTTGGGAAGGTGGAGGGCCAGCAAAAAAAGAGGAAGACCTTCAACGAGGAGGATTGACACAGTAACTGCAGCAACGGGCTCACATGTGTGAGAGATTGTGAGGGTGGCACAGGATAGGACAGGGCTCAGATCGTTTGTTCACAGGGTATATAAGTTGTACTCAACTTGATGGCATCTAATAATGCAACATGTACACATGGTTTGGTCTGCTCCTTTAGCCTTTCGTACATGGGTATTTTTGGTCAGGTTCATTTCTGTTAAGATGGCTAATTTTATACCAATGTTGTTTCAAGGCAGTACAGGACATCGAGAAAGGATGGGCCAACCCCACACAGGTGCAGAGGGAGAAATTAGCGGCTTTTCAGAAGGAAGACAATCAGACAAAGGTGAATTGAATATTGTACCAAGAGAAATCCCTTAGAAGAGAGTTAAAGAAATGTTGGAAGTGGAATGTTTTTGAATTTTAACTTATAAACCTGTCAGGTACTAGAAGTGGGGCTTTCTTGGAAGAAAATACCTTTATTGATTTTTCTGATTATAAAGTTAATAAAGGCTCACTGCATAAAGATTCTAAAAATACAGACAGTGTAAGTCTTTTGCCAAGCTAATTAATACAGACCCTCAACATTATTTTTAATGGCTCCTGAGAATTTTGGTTTTTGGCTCTGTTATTGTTCAGCTAACCAATTTTCTTATTCTTGGACATTTGGGATGTTTTCATCTTTTTGCTGCTATAAATCACTTAGGCAGCGAGTGCTGTGAGGCCTAGGACTGTGTCTAATTTATACATGCTCTGGGTATTCCCAACACCTGGCACAGTTCCTGGCCAAACGTTCCTGAAAGCTGGGCCAACATCCTCTGCCTTTGAGTATGGGCTCTATTTCTAAATGGTCATTTTGAAGCGTCTTCAAAGGTTGCACCAAATCACACACCACTGCCCCTGCACCTTCCACCCTCCTGCCCGAGGCAGTGGATATGTGTGTTTGACTAACAAGACATACTTTAGCAGACAGAGGAAATGACCTCTGCTCCGTTGTGTGTCTTTTTTTCCATTCTTCAGACTTTGCAGCGTTCACAACCAGAACATTGATTTTGTATAAATTGTATGCAACGTTTAGGTGATTATAGCTCTTGTAAGCTTCAGATATTTGGAAATCTGGTTGATAACAAGTAAGAATAAGCAAATATTGCTACCTTTTAGAGTTACTGAATATTTACCTGATAGTTCACCTCAGCCGGAATAACTAATGTGTATATAAAAGTGGTGTCTATGTTACAAGTATCTGACTTCACCTTTTGTGAACCAATCTCTATAATGCCTATTATATTAAAAATTTATAGTATTTAAGCTATTTCATAATGAATAACAGGCATTACTTTTTTATGTGCATCAAAATATTATTATTACTACTGCATTTCTAAGCACTTTCCAGGTATTAGTTTCTTTCATACCTGTAAGAGTCCTACAAGACAGAAATTACTGTTAGCCTCAGTTTGCAACTAAGGTTACAGAGGAGTGAAATGACAGCTAGTAAAAGCAGCACTCTGGTGGCCTAGTGGTAAGAAGCTGTGTTACAATCCCACAGGCACGTGGTTTGAATTCACCTGCTGCTCTGGGGGAGAAGGATGGGCAGTCTCCTCCTATGTGATATATTGCCTTTGAAAACCCTCTGGAGGGTCAGCTATGGATGAGTTCCAACTCAAAGGCACACAACAACTGCTTTATTATAGTAAATATCCTTTAATGTTCCTGTAAGTATTTAACTTTTTTATGCATAGACAGGTACACTAAATACAATACACTAAGAGAAACATGTGACCAGCTGATGTTAGATACGAGTATTTTTGTAATCCATCTGCTAAGATTAGCAGCAGATCAGTTATGGGATGTGTCGAGTCACCATTGTCCCAATTGCTTGCCCTGCTGTGTAAGTCCATGATTTCCCACGCCAGCAGCTCCTCCTTTGTTCACTTCCCTACCTCTTCTATGTCCCTAGAACTGAAAGGTCTCCAAGAGACTCAGACCCCTCAGGATTAACTCACATGCAGGCTGGTTTTGCATAAACTGGTGAGTGATGATGGGTCAGGATCCTATAGACTGTCAGTTGTGGTCCAGCTGAATGCTATGTCCCAGGAAAAAGTCAGCATCCCCCAAAAGACAGCTAACACTGAGGTCCCATGAGTTTATATAAGCCTCTAGTAGGGTGGGGCTTTTATCCCACCCCAATTCTCTTTTTTTAATACAATAAATACTTCAGCACAAAATAAATAGTTAATCCTTGGCTAGGAAAGACATTTTGAATGATAAACCTTAGACATCCACCCAAGCCATACCAAACCATTCCAATTTAAGTACAAATTAGACATAAGGACCCTTAAGAAGAGAACCGATTCATAATCTGGGGCTTTCTATAGAAGAAGAGTTGTAATTTTTGACAACTACAGCTTTTATTTTGACTGGTAGAATATTGCTGCTACTTTGGACGTAATTACAAATGGTAGACTGCAGCCAGTCCTTCATCTGGCTCAGCTGGAAGAAAAAGGTGCTTTTACCTGAGCCAGTAGAGTGGTGGTAGTCTCTGACATTAGGTTTCCATCTGCTTCATGTGGTCTCACCTCTCCCTGTTCCCTGTTTGTGCGGTACAGTTTCTGGAGTTATCTCGAGAAGTGCAGCACTATGGATGCCTGAAGCTGGATCCTTGTACCTGTGACTACCCTGAACCCGGCTGTCTGGTTGTTGTTTTTGTCGGAAACAATGAAATCAGCTGCCACATAACGCTGCCTGATGACCAGACCCAGGACATCATTTTCCAGATGAGCAAGGTCAAGTGCTGGCAGGTCACTTTTCTTGTGAGTATATTTTGGTGTCTCGCATTACCAAGGAATCTTTCACACGATTTAAGCAATGCCACACTTTGATGAAGTTCCTAGGGTAGACAAATGCCAAGAGACTGAAGTTTATTAATGGTTACAATGGATTGGAAATGGGCAGGGAATTATTGTTTAATGAGTACTGAGTTTCTGTGTAAAAAAAAATCAAAATCCCTCATTGCTATCAGGTACATTCCAACTCACAGTGACTTTCCAGCAGGTTTCCAAGGCTGCAAATCTTTACAGAAAGAGAATGCCTCTTCTTTCTCCCATGGAGTGGCAAGTTGATTTGAATTGCCACGCTTTTGTTTAGCTGCCAAATACATAACCTACTAGCTGCGTCCCCAGGGCTCCTTTCATATCTTTTTGAATTGCTGTCTGTTTAGGTATATTGCTGTAGGTGTATTGACTCCATGGATGTCACGGTAGAACTGTCCTCGTGATGATGTCATGGATGTCACAGAAATGTCCTTAGCAGCACTTGCAGTGGCTGACTTTTTGGAAGTAGATAACCAGGACTTTCTTTTGAGTTAAACATCCAATCCTTAAGTTGGTGGCCATGCTTCCACCATTTGCACTAATGAGGATATTAGGTGCACAAACACTTGAAATTATTGTATCTTCTTGGTGAATTGGCTTTTCAGTTGGGGACCTCTAGTGGCCTAGTGGGTAAGGAATTGTGCAGCCAACCCAGTGGCAGGCAATTTGAATCCACCAGATGCTCTTCAGGACAAGGATGGATAATCTCTTTTTGTGCAATTTACAACCTCTAAAAACTCACTGGAGGGTCAGCTGTGAGTCGCTTCTGACTAAAAAAAAAAAAAGAAAAGTTTATGATTATATAATGTCTCTCTTTAGTCCAGTTAATATTTCTTGTCCAGAAATCTGTATTGTTTAAAATGACTGTAGCCACTCCAGCTGCCTTTTTATTAGTGTTTGCCTGGAATATATTTTTCTTGCATTTTACTCTTTCAGTATCTTTATACTTTTAAATGAGACTCTTGAGAATCTTGATTCACTTTAAAATAAAATTTGACATTTCTAACTTTTTAGTTGTTGTGTTTAAAATTTATACTTCATTAAATAAGCATGTGGCTGGATTTCCGTCTACTGCCTTGCTGGTTTTTATTTGTCCCATCTGTTCTCCCCTTTTCTTGTCTTCTATTGATTACCTGCGTATTTTTTAATGGCTCCATTCATTTGCACTATTAGTTTGTTAGCAATACCTCTTTTATTTCTTTTTCAATGGCTCCTTTTGAATTTTCAGTATACAATTTTAACTTATCACAGGCTTCTGATCAACATTACACTGCTTCACAAATGAATTAAAAACTTTACAAGAATAACATTTTGTAACTTCTAGATTGTATTATTTTTATACTTTATAACACTTTTTCTTTAAGTATTTAATTCTTTTAATTAAGTCATATTCTGAGATCATGATAGTTTTCTGTTTGTTTTATATATAATGTTCAGGATTCTTAATTGTACTTAGTGGGAGGAGAGCTCTGGTAGCTAATGGCGGGGAGTTGCATTGCCAACCCTAAGTCTTGTAGTTCAAATCCAGCAGCTACCGCAGGGGAGAAAGATGGGCAGTTTCTTCCTATATTAAGTTCAGCCTTTGAAAAACCACTGGAGGATCCTCTAGGAGTTGGTTCTGATTAAATGGCAATGAATTTTGAGTTTGTAATGGGAGAAATAGGGAACGAAATATCTACTCCATCTTTCTGAATGTGAAGTTGTGTTTTAGTAATTTAACTCTAGCCTCTCCTCTGACCACACCTGATGTCTTGGAGTCTGTGTCCATGCAGAATTTCCAGTATGCCAGGCTCCTTCATGCCTCAGTACATTTGCACTTGTTTTTTCCTGTTAGGAATCACCTGTCACTCTGTTCCTAACAAAAGAAAAGCAAAACCATCATAACAAACATGCAGAACATCTACTTCTCAGATGTGTCTTCCTCCAGGAAGCCTCCAAGTCTGGGTTAGGTGTCAATTTTAGTTACTTCCATGTGTTGGCTTTCTTTGTAAGTCTTCTTAGATCAACTCGTCGTAATTTATTTTCATAATCTTCAACTCCTGCTCAGTAGATGAGTAGCTCCTTGAAAACCAGAGTGAAGTCTTGCATTATAATAATTTTCCCAGGGTGCAGTGCTATTGGGTACTGTTGGTTCTCAGCTCATTACAGTGTGACAGAGTGGAGCTGTCTCAATCTCTTTTCCTGGCTGTAATTTTCATGGGCAGATCTTTGGTTCATGTCTCCCTTGCAGGGTTGGTAGGCTTGAACTGTTGACCTTTAGGTTAACAACTAAGTGATTAATCCTTTAGGATGTAATAGACACTTCAGTTTCTATTGACTGTCTAACATTATCTTTTCCTCTGCAGGGAGCTCTGCTGGATATGGATGGGCCCCAGCGAACTCTCAACCAGAACTTAGAGCTCAGATTTCAGTACAGCAAGGACAGTCAGTGGCAGTGGTTTGTTATTTACACCAAGCAGGTGAGTTAGCATGAAAATCTGAGCTGAAATGCTCTCTTGCTCGGTGGCACGGATGAAGCACATTACCTTACCCTAACCAGAGTAGAAAGCTAACGTGTGCTATTTGCAATCTGTTTGGCCTTAGAGTAACTTTGTTTTGTTTTGTTTTTTTAATATTACTACATCATGGCTAGTGGCATAGTCTATAGGGAATTGAGTCAATGTCTTCGTCTTACTTGGATCCAGATCAGTACACTTGGTACCTGCAGTCAGGAAATCAAGAGACATAGTGCACTACAAAGTCTGTAGGCAGGAATTTCTCTAAAATTATTGAGGAGTAATGATATAAGTTTGAGGACTAAGGTACATCTGATTGAGGCCATGGACTTCTCAGTCACTTGCTATGTATCTGAGAGCAGAACAGTGAATAAGGATAATAGAAGAAGGATTGATGTCTTTGAGCTGTGGTGTTGGAGAAGAGTGCTGAACATCCCATGGACTGCCAAAAGAACAAACATGTTTGCCTTGGAGAAAGTCCAGCCAGGTTGGTTCTTGGAGGCAAAGATGGTATAGAACTTTGTCTCAAATAATTTGGGTATGTTGCTGTTGTTGTTGTTGTTATGTGCCGTCGAGTCATTTGCGACTCGTAGCGACCCTATGTACAACAGCCCTAAACTCCGCTCTGTCCTGTGCCAATCGCACTGTCTCTGACACTCCCATCCCAATTATCCCAGTCACTGAATCAATCCACCTCATAGAGGGCCTTCCTCTCCTGCGCTGTCCCTCCACCCTCCCAAGCATGATATCCCTCTCCAAGGACCGGTCCCTCCTCACAACATGTCCAAAGTATGTTAGACAGAGCCTCAGAATCCTTGCCTCCAAGGAGCCACCCGGTTTAACCCTTTCCAGGACAAATCTGCTTGTTTTCCTAGCAGTCCATGGTATTCTCAATACTCTTCTCCATCACCACAGCTCAAAGGCATCAATTCTCCTTCTATCCTCCCTGGTCATTATCCAACTATATTTGGAGAGGGACATCATGCTTGGAAATGTGGAGGGACAGTGAAGGAGAAGATGACCCTTAATCAGGTGGATTGACACAGTGACTGAAGAGGTTGGCTTGAATGTGTGAGAAATTGTGAAAATGGTACAGGATAATCAGACAGGGTTCATCTGTTGTTCCTAGGATTGTTATGAGTCGTATCAACTCAATGGCACCTAACAACAAAAACAGTAACATTTAATTTCTGGGAACATGCTGGTTCTCTTTCAATGCTCTACTCCTAATACATTATTTTTTTAACTTTATATTAGTTTGCCTGCAAAACTTATATACATTTGAAGTAATGAGATAATAGATATTAAAACCAAATACCAAATCCCACTGCTGTTGAATGGGTACTGACTCATAGTGATACCCCCTACCCCCCCAGGTTTCCAAGCCTATAAATCTTTTTGGGAGGAAATTACCCATCCTTCTCCCATGAAGCAGTTAGTGGATCCAAACTGTTGACCTTTTGGAGCAATACAATACAAAGCTCTCTAAATAACACAAAGTACTAAATCAAAATCCCAGGTTAAAGCAACAGATCCTTAGATTCACCTTAACTATGAAACATCCTTAGAGAACAGTTAGAATGGTCTTCTGAGGCAAGATGTGTGGTCACTTTTGGAGCAGACGTGAACTCTGGTGGTGTAGTCCCTGGGGAAGCTGTGCTGTTGGCTCAAAAGCAATGTCATTCTGGTGATTCAAACTCACCAGTGGCTATGCAGGAGGAACATGGGCCTACAGTTTACAGCCTCCAAAAACCAGCTCGAGGGGCGACTCCACAGTAATGAGGGTGGTTTTCTCATTTTCATTCTTTTCTTTTCTTTTTTAAGAGAAGAAGGAATTTGGGCACTGAAACTACCTCCCCAGAATGCTAAATGCAGTAGTTAAATTTTACTGTGGTCTTTTAATCTAGTCAGGAGCAAATGAATTTAAGCCACTGTGGAGAGTGTGGTAAACTTGCTTTTACAGGATTCCAGTAAGGCCTCATTTCCACCTGAGTATGCGTTTATTGATACGCACCCAGAGGCTGCTTCAGCAGAAGATAGACATGTGGCTTGTATGTCCTGTAAATATAAATGAGGGCTTGGGCCCAGATCTTTTTAAAATTCTTTTTTAAAAAAAATAAGAAAGCTCACCTCGTTGGTATTTTGCAATCTCTCTTTACCATTTAATAGTACTAGTCTCCGTGTTTTGTGCACAGTGGATAAGACTATTGGATCAGTGCACCTCTCGTGGATATCATTCCCACTTACACCAGCTTGGGCTTTTTATTGATGTTTTACTTTTATTTTGGGGGGTGGTTTCTTTGTTTTGTTGAAATGAGGGGGATATTTCTTCACTTAGGTTGAAATGTACACATGCAAAGAAAATCATGCGTTGTTCAACAGTTTTGACACTAAAGGTAGTTACACTCTTCCCATTGTGTGTTTTTCTCCCTCTCTGCTCATATGGTTTTACCACTGTTAGCTTAGACTCTCCATCCACCATTGTTCCCAACTGTGTTTTAGAGTAACTTGTTTATTTAATCTCAGAGAGGTAATTTAAAAAAAAAACACATTTGAGCTGTTTCCACGTTCTTGTGATGGTGAACAATGCTGCTATAAACATTGTATAAGTTTCCATTTGTGCCTTAATTCTAATTTCCTTGAGGTATATTCCTAGCAGTGGAATAGCTAGGTCATATGGAGTTTCTATGTTAAGTTTTTATTTTTAAATACAATTTTTTTATACTACTTTAAAAAAAAGCGTAATGTTCACAGTGAATGTTACTAAAAGTGTTAAATTGTTTAATGTTGACTTTATGGGACAGTGTCAGTTCAAGGCTTAGAATTTGTTTTTAAGCCATAAATTTCTAGATCCCTCTGGTGGCCTATTGAGTTCTGTGGGCCTAAGGGTAAAAAGCTGTGCTGCAATACTGAAGTTCAAATCCACCAGCTGCTCCAGGAGAAGGGTAGCCTGTCTCTTCCCATGTGAGTTATGGCTCTGAAAAGCCACTGCAGGGTCAGCTATTAATTAGTTCTGACTTGATGGCGCACAGCAATCAATGGTCTGTTAGGGAGCTTTGGTTGCCTCGTTCACACAGTTCAAATCCCTCAGCTGCTCCAGGAGAAGGATAGACAGTCTCCTCTCATGTGATTAACTGCTTCTGAAAACCTGCTGGAGGGTGAGCTATGAGTTTGTTCTGACTCAGTTTAGGGTTTAAATACACTGGGTTTGTGAGCCTTGCATATGCGCACAAAGAAACAGAGCTGGCTTTTAGCAAAGCTAGTTGTTTTTGTTGTTATGTGCTGTCAAGTTGAGTAGGGCTGGTATGACCTTAAGAACAACACATCTGAACCTTGCCCTATCCTGTTCCATCTTCACCGTCTCGATATCCTCTCATACATTGTCACAGTCATCACACGAATCAATCCATCGTTGAGGGTCTTCCTTTCCTACACTGACCCTCCACCTTTCCAAGCATGATGTCCTTTTCCAAGGCTTGGGTCCTCCTAATAACATGCCCAAGGTATGTGAGATGAGGCTTCACCATACTTGCTTCCAAGGAGCACGCTGGCCAACTTTCTCCAAGACAGATGTTTGCTCTTTTAGAAGTCCGTGATATACTCAGTATTCTTCTCCAGCATCAAAACTCACTTCTTCTGTCATTCATAGTCATTGTCTAACTTTCAGATGCGTCTATCAGATTTCATCATTGCATTAAAAACCTGGCATCTGTTTCTCCTTCTTTATTGGTGGGAGCCCCTATCTCTTCCTTTCCTTTCTCGTAAATAAACTTAGTTCCTATCATGCTTTGCAGCTGTGTGTGATTTTAAGCTGTTGTTTGTACGTTTCCTCCATTCTCTGTATTTCTTTTGGGCCTCACCACTTGGCTACTGCCCTGGCCTGGATTTTCTCTTTCTTTTCTTTCTCTTCTTTTCCATTCTCACCTCCCAACACAGAGCCCATCCCTGAACATTCAACTTTAGTCTCATTGTCTCCAGCTTTCACCTCAATTATTTCAAACCTTCATAGAATGGGAAGAGAAAATGACCATTTAAGAGAGTGAGAGAAGGCAGGCCGGAGGAAAAGAACAAATGGGAACATCATGTTGTTAGACAACCTTGTGAACAACATTGTCTTCTGCAACAAATCTTTTCCTTTTTTTTTGTTTACAAAATAATAGAGATGATAGGTGGAAGGGAGGAGTCAGATGCACCTTGTTGTTGTCACTATGTCTTACTGAGGGACTTTTCCCAACATGGTGCCTTTTTTCAAAGGCTTGACCCCTCCTGACAACAGGCCCAAAGTATGTGCACTGACTTTCACCATCCTTGTCCCCAAGGTGCGCCCTTTTGGAGGTTGTACTACCTCCACGATCCACTTGTTTGTTCCTCAGGCAAAGTCCACAGGATTTTCTCCAACACCACAGCTCAATGTTATCAATTCTTCGCTCTTCCTTATCCATTGCCCAACTTTTAGAGCAATTAAAAAAATACTACGGCATGAACCTTAGTCTTCAAACTGATCTCTTTGCTCTTTAGCACTTTGGAGAGCTTCTTAACGGTTGATTCCGCCAATGCAATACATCTTTTGGTTTCTTGACTTTTTAAAAAATTTATTATTAATGTCAGTAAAAATTTACAGAGACTTTAGATTTCTATTCATTCATTGTTGCACTTTCCTCCCCTCCCAACCCTTCCCCCTAATACACTACCCTCTTGGAAAAGGAAAAGAAAAATTCTTTCATTGTTTTACAAACCCTCCCCCAGGTCACTCCACCATGCAGCCTTCGTTCTAGACTCCTGTCATGACAAAAATACCTAATCACATGTCCCTTTTAAACAGTTTTCTCCCTCTTTTGTTTCAATACAGTATACATTGTTGAACCCATCTTTCTCAGTCTCTTCCCAACCCTGCTGTCAGTCCTGTTTTACAACAGTGGCACTATGCAGTATTTGTCCTTTTGTGACTGAGATATTTCACTCAGCATACTGTCCTCCAGAGTCACCCATTTTGAATAATGTTGCATGAGTTCTTTGTTTTTCAATGCGGTATAGTATTCCATTGTGTGAATATACCACAGCTTCTCTATCCATTCGTTTGTTGATGGGCACTTAGGTCGTTTCCAACTCCTTGCTATTGTGAACAAAGCCTCAATAAACATGGGTGTGCAGATTTCTTGACTCTTATGTTGTTGTTTGAGGCCATCAGATTGGAACTTACCCGTAGCTGACCCTTCATTGGGTTTTCAGAGGTAGTTAATTACACAGGAGGAGATTACCTGTTCTTCAACCGTGGAGCAGCTGGTGGATTTGAACCACATGCCTTTGGGATTATAGCGAAGCGTTTTACCACTAGGCCACCAGAGCTCCCTAGTTACAAAGGGAATCTTATTTGGTACATAGAAGTGAAGATCCTAGAAAAAGGAACCTCAAGGGTTTTTTGGTGTGTAACTGTGTTGTAAAAGTAACAGTGATTAGTAAACCACAGATAATATCAAAGACAGCTATCAGTCTTGAGTGTGAAAGAAAAATACTACTAGAAAAATACAAAGTGAAGGAAAAAGTATTTTTCCCAGTTCCACAAAAGCATTCCATCATGACATATTCTTTCAAGCATACAGATTGCTTTTTATGCCTATTAATAGGTCTGTCAACAATTATGTGTACAATATAAGATTGATTGTCATCCATTTCTATTATTTGTTAACAGTTTTCATTATTTGTTGCTTCTATAACATGATCTCTGCTTACAAATAATTGAGGCAGTGTACAGATGGAAGGTGTCTTAAGAGGGAATAAGATCAGTACTTAGATCCTGACCATTTTTCATCTGTCTTTTCTTTTTTTTTCCCCTGTAAATCTATCCATGTAATTGAGGAAATGTGTGGGTACCAGCTACTTACATCTTAGGCAAATTTATGGAAATTAAAGAAGACTCAATTCTTGAAAGCCTAGTATTAGAGGGCAGAGCTCAATATCTGCTTTGTGGTGGGAGGATAGTGAAGGAGGGAGGGAGGAAGAGAAGGGAGATTCCTCAGCTGGGAGAGTTGTCTGTTTCTGATCCTCTTAGGCTTTTTTGCTGAGTAGCTGCTTGAAAAAGATGATCTCAGAGAAGATGGTAAAGCTGGCTGCAGAGGATCCAGAAATGGTAAGTCGGCCTGTGCATGCTTTCGGCTTAGAAGCCAGGTTTTTAAGACTCTGGAATGCTAGAAGCCTTTTTACTCTCTATTCTTTATCCTTTTACCTCTGCCTTCCTCCAAATAGAAGATTTCTAGTTTACTATAAAAGGCACATCATAAAGTCAATATCAGGGAGGTGTTTAACACAGCAGGGATGATGTTTAAATAAACTCTGAGCTTTGTCTCTAGAAAGAACCAGTAACCTCTTGATTCTGTTGTGTCAAAGGAAAACGTCACTGGCAGTTGGGGGAATCCATCAAGTAAAAGAAGCTTGAAGGCGGTAATGTTTTCTTAATGCAAACATTAAGCTTTGCTTTTCTAGTCTCCATAAAGACTTACAGCCTTAGAAACCGGTGGAGGATGCCAGGAGGCAGAACCAGCTTGACAGCAGTAGAGCATTGGATTTTGCAATAAAATTACAAATGCTAATGCTTGCTTGGCCTAGTGGCAAGAAGCTGTGCTGAAATCCCAAAGGCATGCAGTTCGAATCCACCAGCTGCTCCGTGGAAGAAGGATAGGCAATCTCCTCCTGTGAGATTAACTGAAAACCCATTGGAGTGTTAACTGTAGTTTTCCAACTAGAATGTACACAGTAACAATACTTGCTTGATATTTGTAAGCCTAGAGAGCTCTGGTGGCCTAGTGGTAAGAAGCTGTGCTCCAATCCCGAAGACATGTGGTTTGAATCTACCAACTGCTTCATGGGAGAAAGATGGGCAATCTCCTTTCGTGCGATTAACTCCCTCTGAAAACCTGCTAGAGCATCAGCTATAGGTTGGTTCCTACTTGACAGTACTCAACAACAGTTCTTTTTTGCAAAGCATATCCTTGATCCTTTTATAACAGATCTTTGAAACTGTAACAGGAAGCCTTTAGAAACTGGCTGAAGCTTTCATAGTTTGTTTCATATTGCTCTGTATGTCCTTGGCGTGGCAGCTGTTTCTAAAAGAGCAGTAACATCTTAGATATGTTTGTCTACTTATCTTCTGGAACAGACATTATTGTTTTCAGGAAGAATGGAGTTCACTGGCTCTTGCAATTTGTTGTTGTTGTTGTGTACTGTAGATTTGGAACAGATCCCTAGCTGACCCTCCAGGGAGTTTTCAGAGGCAGTAATCACATGGGAGGAGTTTGCCCATCCTTCTCTCCCTGAGTAGCTGGCGGCCTTGAGCCGCTTGCCTTTGGAATTACAGAGCAACTTCTTGCAACTAGGCCACCAGAGATGTGGCAAACCCACACCCATGGTCCTCTAGTCAATTCTGACACAGAGCAACCCTATAGGACAGAGTAGAACTGGTCTGTATGGTTTCCAAATCTACAATCAGTATGAAAGCAGACTGCCATGTGCTTTTCTCATGGGGAGGCCACTGGGTTTGAACCATCAGCCTTACAGTTAGCAGTTGAATGTTCAGTCCCAGCACCACCAGGGCTACTTCAAAATGTGCTAAAGAGTAGCAAATCAGTGAAATAAAGGAATCAAGAAAGATCTTTTTAAAACAGTAAAGGAAATCCAACTTCTTAAATAGACTGGATCCTCTTACGTTCCGATCATGATATATTTTAAACTGGGGAGATGGGGTTAGGTGTGTCAGAGTCAGTGAGACTGGCTCAGGACAGGTCAGAGCCACTGTACATAGGATCCCTATAGGTCGTAGGAGACTCGACAGCACATAACACAATAAAAAGAGGAAAGAAAAGTAATTATCTGAAAGAACCTTTTAAAAAGGAGAAAAACTCTTACATGTGGATGAATAAATAAGTGATTTGATTGAGGAAATACTTGTACAATGAATAATGAAGTGTTTGCTCAACAGAATGGAAATTATATATTTTTTATTTGTTGTTACATGCTGTTGAATCAGAACTGACTCATAACTGACCCTCCAGCAGGTTTTCAGAGGCTATAAATTGCATAGAAGGAAATTGCTTATCTATCTCCTGAAGAGCTGCTGGTGCGTTTAAGTGTTTAACTTTGGTATGGCAGTGCAATTCCTTACCACTAAATCCAGAACTCCTGGTGATTTCTTTAGAGACCTGGTTTAGCTATTTTAGTGGGGTTTTTTCCCCTCAACAAAAACCTACCAAACTATATTCCTCAGATTTGCACACAAATTGAAATGTTTAATTTATCAATGTGGTTGATAGCAAAATCAACATATCAGTCAATACATATTTTATCCAAATACTCACCAGGTTTTGTTCCCACAAATTTTACTTCCTTATTTTGGTTCTCAAAAAGAAAAGATCCATCCTCTTGAAAACTGATTGTTCAGAGCTTTTTGTTGTTGTGTGGATAGTTCTTATTTTAATCTAGAACTTGATCCACAACAAGTGCCTGCATAGAATGGGTCCCTGGAAGGAAACTGATGGGTCAGCAGCAGCTGGGACTCGTTTGTCCTGGATTCTGGGGCATCATACCAAGCACAGTTGACTAGAGCATGTGGAGCGGGGGCACACAAAACACACAAAGCGTAACCTGACGCATACTGTTTACATAGGGTACGTGTGGACTATTCCATAGAAACCTCTGTTTTACAAGGCAGATTTTTAATCCAATGTTTTTGTGAATATGAAGCATCAGGAGAGACAGGAAAAGAAATTACAGAAATGATAACCAAACAAATCTTCTAAGTATAGCAGGTAGTCCTTAGAAGCAAGTTGGATAGTATTGGTTTTATCCTAAACAAGAGAAAAAAGAGATGTAGTGCTAGCTTAACCAGCTGAGTTAGCTTAAGGCAATGCTTTTGAGTAAGACTTGAACCATTTACTGATGAAGAGATCAATAAAATTTGAAATAAAACCAATGTATTAAAGAAAACCATCCACACACAGCATAACAAAAATCATGACTCCTAAAGGTAATATTAGCCACAAACCAGGAGGAAAATAAAGTACAGCACTATTTTTAAAAATTTCTCTTATATTGGTTTGCTTATAAAATAAGTATACAGTATATAAAGTGTAGCACTCTTGTGGTTTTGTTTTGTTTTCTTATTGAGTATCATCAAGACAGATCCAATTGGCACAGTAAGAGATTGCCCCTCCTTCTCCAGCAAAGTATCTGGTGGATTCAAACTACACCCCTTTGGGATTGCAGAGCAGCTTCTTGCCACTAGGCCAGCAGAGCTCTCCAGGTGTAGCCCTCTTGAAGCTGTGTAGTCAGTGTTAGGTGCCATTGAGCCAACTATAATTCATATTGACCTTGTGAACAGCAGAGCTGAACCCTGCCCCATCCTATGCACCATCCTTACCATCTCTGATATGCTCAAGGCCACGTCATAGTCACTGTGTCAATCCATCTTATTAAGAGTCTCCCTCTCTTTCTTTGACCTTCCATCTTTCCCTCCATGATGTCTTTTTCCAAGGATTGGCCCTCCTGACAACATGCCCAAAGTGTGTGAGACAAAGTTTCACCGTCCTCGCCTCTAGGGAGCACCCTGGTTCCACTTCCCCCAGCTAGACTTGTTTGTTCTTTTGGCAGATGGGACATACAGTACTCTTCTCGATCAGCACAACTCAAAGACATCAGTTATTGTTCTGTTATCCCTATTCACTGTTCAACTTTCAATTGTATGGAAGGAATTGAAAAGATCATGATATACTTTATAAACTGATATTCCTGCTCTTGATCACTTTGGAGAGGACCTTGACAGTTGATTTACCCAATATATCACATCTTTTCTTTTGACTTCTTGACTGCTGATACCATAGGTGTTGATTGTGGATCTAGTAAAATGAAATCATTGAGTCATTCAGTCTTTCTCCATCATTATGTTACCTTTTGGTTCTTCTGTGCAAAAGCCCAGATTAATGTTACTAGTATTGGCTCTTTGTGCGTTAGAGAATTATGAGGATTGTTTTATTTGAAAATAAATTTGTTGCTGCATACATAAAACAGACAACAAAATAAGACAAAAGTTGTCTCTTACAAATTATAATGTAACATTATAAAAAAAATAATAGCGGAACACTGACAGCAAATTAGAGCACTAATTTCTCATTAGCAGAGACCTAACAATTAATTATTTAAAATCTTATTGAGATATACTTTTTAATATGTAAACATCTTGTGTGAAAAACAATGTATTAGAACTTTGTGAATAAATCATATAAAAATCTTTTTTAAAAATTCAACAACAACAAAACAATTCTAACCTAAAGTAAGTCCTTAGAGCAATCTATTACCACATTAAGTTGATCATAGTTAAGAATCTATTGTTTGATGTGAATGATGTTATCAGCAAAAGAAATAAAGAATGAAAATTTAAAATACAAACTATTGGTACAGTCACTGTGAAAAAATAAAGGTTCTATTGTTCTTTTGTAGTATCCTATTGTTTTCCCTGAAATTACTCCGAAATGTCTACTCTGTGCTTTCTCATGAATAATAAACAATAATCGTTAGCTCATTTACCCCCTCCTTTTGTCATTTTAGGGAGCTCTGGTGGCACACAGGAGAAGGATGGGCAAGCTCTTCCTGTGAGATTTAACTCCCTCTGAAAATCCACTGGAGGGTCAGCTGTGGGTTGGTTCCGACTCCATAGTACAATAGCTGGTGGCATAATTTGTATGAGTTGTGTTGCGTTGATAACCCAAAGACAGTGCCTCTTTGGTAGTTAGAATCCATCAACTGCTTCATGGAAGAAAGGTGGGCAGTCTCCTCTCTTGCAATTTGCAGCCTTGGCAAATCCAGTGGAAGATCAGCTGAGTCAATTCTAACTCGATGGCAATGAGTTTGAGGTGGTGTAAAAAAAAACACACAATTGACAAGGAACCCTGATAGTGCAGTGGTTAAACACACAGATTCACTGAAAGGTTGGTTCTTCAGATCTATCAGCCACTTGGCAGAAGAACAACGTGGCTGTCTGCTTCTATAAGATTTACAGCCTTGAAACTCTGGAAGTATTCTGTGCTTTCCTGTAGAATGGACAGAGAATAAAACTGTCATTTCTGTTCAGCTGGGTTTTTGGGAGGCTGTAAATCACATGGGAAGAGAGTGCCCATCTAATCTTTAGATGAGCAGTGTAGCTCCCCACAGTCTACCTCGCCAGAGCTCCCTAGATACCGCGAGTGTTGTTGTTGTTGTTAAGTGCCCTCGAGTCGCAGGCGACTCATAGCGACCCTATGAAGGAGAGTCCTTGACACTTGGGTGCTTTTCATCCTCTCTCCAGGTTCATAGGGTTTCCACAGACAAGCTATTATGGAAGTGGATGCCACTCCTCTTTCCACACTTGTTTAATCGGGGAGCTCCACCCCACTCTCAGTTCGCATTGGGTAGCCAACCATTAACGCATTTGACACGTAGATGAGTTTATTTATTATGTTAGAAACTGAGGATCCAGTATCAGAGCTTAGAAGAGAATTTGCAGGAGTCATGATTTGCATCATAGTTAAGATGTTCACATTCTATTACATTAAACATAGTTGCGGTTGTTGTTGTTTTGTACCGTTGAGTTGGCACTAATAATAGCCGGCCCTCCAGCGGGTTTTCCAAGGCGGTAAAGTTCCTGAGAGGAGATTGCCCATCCTTCTCCCTTGAAACTTGAAGCAGTGGTGGATTCTAACCGCGTGCCTTTGCGTTGGCAGCACAGCTCCTTACCGTGAAGCCACAAGAGCTCCCTCGGTGTTAATAGTATAGTCCTTTTTCTTTTTCAGTAGGGAAAAAACATAAAGTAATATCCAAGGTTTTCCCCTAGACCTGGTGAGATCCAGTTTCCTAGGTGTGCCAGGCATTCTGTTTGCCTGTCCATACCACTTGGATCTGATCTCCACCCTGCCCTGTGCTGCAGGGGACTGCCCTTTGCATGCCACACCGTTGCTCTCTGGGTTCACCCAAGGGGAAACCCAGCAGGAGACTGGAAGGTGGGAGCAAAGTGAGACTGGAGTATTTCCTTCTCCAGCTCTGGCCTTGCTGTGTTTGTGGTTGGCATGCTCTTCTACTGAGGATCACGACTTCTGGGAGGCAGCCTCTCCTTACAATACGGCTATTCTTCCAGGTTCCAGTAATAACACTTCCCCTAACCCCATCAGTCCTAGAATAAAATGAACAAACAACAAAACCTCAGTTGCCTGTTAAGTTGACAGTGATGCATGGTGACCCAGCTTGTGTCAGAGTAAAACTCTGGCTTTCAGTGGCTGACTTTTCACAAGTTGATTGCCAGACCAAGGAATCTGTGGCACCAACTTTGAGGTTAGCAATGCTTTAACCATTGCACTACCCAGGGACTCTCTCAGGCTTTGAGGTAGTGAGACTGCACCCCTTTTGTCCCTTTATCCCCTTGTTGCTAGCCCCTGAGACCGTCAACATCTCTTCTTTGGTTGCCCCTAACCCTACACACACCTCCATTAAACAGTTATGTAGTTCTTTTTAAAAACTCTCAGTTACCCTGTATGAGTGCACCATCTGTTTCCTGCTGGGACCCTACCAGGTTTACCTTACATACAGGAGGCACATTCAAGTGTCTTGAACTTCAGTTTCATTCTTCATTTGATTAACGGTGCCCTTTGATTATTCAAAGCCCCGCTTGGCTTTGATTCAGCATATGGATCAGAGCTCTGTGGATTATGGCTGAATGTGTGAGTACATTTCATTTTGTGTGAAGTCCTTTCGAAAGCAGTGTTACATCACAAAAATCCACAGGCATCAACCAGTATTAAACATTAAGCTTCTCTTAACTTCTGCCATCTCGGTTTCTGGAACATTTGGATGCTTGCAAATTAAGGGGGAGTGGGGCTTGTGGCCTGCCGGTGCCCAACGACTGGAAGCCTTCAAGAATATTGAGAGGCCTGTGGAAGGGGAGAGGTGCTACTTAAATGGATTATTCATGTGCTTGCTTCTCCTGGCTGACATTTCACTAATCTATTCAGCAGATCGAAGTTCCAGAACAAGGCAAGAGTAAAAGGAACCACATGTCACAAAGCCAGGTCTGTGAGTAAAATTATGTAATTGAGGAGTTGTAATTTTGATGAATCTGGTCTCTTCCCCCTGCCCTGCCTGCTATTAAGTAACCAAAGCCATTCTACTTCCAAGAAAAGGCCACAATTCTGTTGCTCAGAAGTTCCCCGTGTAGGTCGGGTCAACTGGAGGACTATCATAGAGTTGTGTTATTGTTATTGTTAAACCTGGTAATATGAGAATAAACGCATCCCTGCATTTTTATGTAGAAAATGTCCAAAAGGCCTTGAATTGTTTTCCTCCACACCCATGTACCTCTTTCTAGCTGGCAAATTTTCATTTTACGAGTTTTCTCTGGTATACTCTGTATAAAATACCTTCTAAGTTTAGAATGTTTTTTGGAGTATTCAGTCCTACTGGGCAGAAAATTTTTAAAAGTAAAAATCATATTGAAAAATGAAATCTACTGCTATTAAGTCAACAAATATGGTAAGTTTGAGACCTGCTGTCAAACAGTAACAGATAACACAGCACAACTGAAGTCAACATGGTGTTATTTCACCTGCTCTCTTGGGTGAACAGTTCTCAAACCAGCATGTTGGCCTGATGGTTTGAATGTGGTTGGCATTCTAGAAAGGGTCATGGTGTCCAGCTGTATTGAATCCCAGTGCATTTATGTAGCCAAGGCACCAACCAGGTGCCAACCAGGCATGGCTATAGGTGCCTTTTACATAGAACTCATCTAATCTGGTAGTTTAGTGATAAGGAATTGTGCTGCCCGTCCAAAGATATGTGATTCAAATCTGCTTTGTGAGAGAAAGACAGGCAATCTCTTCCCTTGAGATTTACAGCCTTTGAGCACTCCCTGGAGGGTCAGCTCTGAATTGATTGTGACTCAACAGTACAGGACAATTCTCCTAACAACCCCAGTGATTATTATTCTCCTTGGCTCAGCGCTCAGCCGTTAACTAAAGGTCACAATTGGAACCCACCAGCTGTTCGATGTGAGAAAGATGTCGCAGTCTGCTTTCATAAAGGTTACCACTTTGGAAAACCTGGGAAGTAGTTATACTCTGTCCTGCCGGGTTACTATGAGTGGGATTTAACCCCAGGGCAACAGGTATGGGTGTGGGTTCTAGGTAAAGGAATGGAAACACCAGAAAGTTAAGTAACTTGTCCAAAGTCACATAGTTTGTGAATGGCAAAACTCAGATCTGAACCCAGGTCATATGGCTCCAGAGTCTCTTTCTTTAACCACTCTGCCATGGGCATCTATCAATGAAATTCTTAGTAGAAAAAAGAAAACCTCCCAAAATGGATTTTTAAGCCTTTGATATAATTATGATTTCCCCCTCCCTCTCACTTTTCTCCTGGTCCTGTCGTTGAGACTTGTATAAAGGCTGAAGACCAACTAAACCCCCTCCCCCAAACCAAAGCACTTAATTTTTGAGACACATAGCTGACCCTCCAGTGGTTTTTCAAGGCTGTAAATCTCACAGGAGCCAATTGTTGATATTTCTTACAAGAAGTAGCTGGTTTATTCAAACCGCCATAGAGGCCTATGTAGGATTGCATTAAAAATTTGGGGTGATTTAAAAATTGAGCCCAGTTTAGAGAAAGAGAGGAAAGGAAGGGGTCATAGTTCAGGTGTTTGAGAAGCTGAGACGCTTTCCTCATCCTACCAGCAGGTGGCGCTCTTCTCGACCTGAGCGTATTGCCATTGTCGTTTTCATGGCTGCCCTACGTGTGTCACAGTCCAGCTGTTTTTCCTAGGACTTTTAATGGCTGGTTTTTCATAAGTGGATCACCAAGCCTTTCTTGCGAGGCTCCACAGGACTTGAATTTCCAATCAAATGAGGTTGTTACTTATTGTACCCCCTAGAGACTCCAACAAGTGAACACTCACTCATAATAAATCTGCCAGATAAAACCCCCCACCCCATTACTTAAACAGAATCTTTCTCTTGCCGTTGTAATATTGTCTTAACTTCCCTGAATTTACTGTTATTGTCATTGCTTTTACGGAAATTATTTCTTCTCTTAAATAGTCTGACTTCTCTGTGTTTACTTTGCAGTGGAAAGACTATTCTAATTTTCTACCAAGAAAAAACAAGATTTCAGTTAAGGTAGCTGAAGAGAACTATGTTTTTGGGAACATAAAGGAAGAAGATCTTTGAAGAAAAAAGGTCCATATTTTAAAATTACCTCTAAGGACATCCTGACGACTATTAAGAGTTGAGGGTTGAAGGTGGGTTTCCTTCCTCCTACCAGTGGAAGAAATGGGACTTCCTTTGTGTTTCAGCCCCTCAGATTTTTTAAAAATTTTTTTTTCCACTCAGATTTTTTGACACTAAGTCCACATTTGTCTAGACTTCTGCAAAAAAGATAAAGTTTCATGTAAAACTCAAGACTAAACCAAATGAGCAAAAACAGAACACCGAGCTATACAGTTTCCTTGTGGTGACTTAAAAATTTGTGTTCTAGTTTTTCCATAAAATAATTGTTTATCAGGTTTCATTCTGATATTATATGAATCAAAGTTTATGAATATTGTAAATGACATGAGTTGAGAGTATTTCTATCGTAAATGTATTTTGGTATGGAGATTAAGAAATTGGCTGCTTAGAATTTTAACCATTGCAATTGTTAATAGATGGTGGAGACATGATGCTTGGACATTTTAGGACATTTGTCTTTTATGAGGATGTACTCGGGTTAACCTCTGAAAACATGACTCATCAGAGGAGACAAATAGAGCTTTCTAAGAAATAGAATAATTGAAGAAGAAATCTCTGGACCTCGTGAATCTATCCACAGATGAATCGAACAGTAAGAATATACTCAACTGAGTGGGCCGTCCTGTTCCACGCTTTGCCAAGTTCTATTCTTCTATACTTAGAAGAGCAAATTCAGTTCAATAGCAAACTCAGTTCAATAATAATCTTACTATTTTAAATGTTTTGAGGGGCTTATTTGGGTTTTGTTTTTTTTTTTTAGTGTTATGGCTTTAGGTATTTTAAGTTTTTTGTAAAGTAACATTTGAGATTATATACCTTACAAGTCTCTTGGCTCTAAGGAGATGTACTTTCTTACAAAAGTTTTCCACTCTTAAACTTATGCATTTCAGAAATCTCATAGTAATTAACGTAAATTATGTTTAGAATCATGCCCATAATAAGGGAAATGGATGGTGAAATCTATATAGTGTAATTGTACAAAGTACGGTATCTTAATGTTCTTTTCTTCCTGGGTCGTGTAACTAATTATATAATAAATATGAAATACAATCTAGTGAGTATAGGATTTATTGATAAAAATTGTGTGAATAATTTCTCTGCAATGTAGAAGCTATTAAAAATTCCTTTAATCATTTCTAAATCAACGTACTCATAATTTCCAGTGCTTTAAAGTTTAATATTTATGTTTAAGGCTAAAGTGGAATAATTTTCCCACCTCTGGACTGGTCAGTTGTCTGTCCTGTGGTGGCTTGAGTGTTACTGCAGTTCTGGGAGCTATAGCATTGGCATTACACCAGCAGGCTCACTCCTCTGCTGACCACATTTCAGCAGAGCTTCCAGACCAGCACAGACTAAGCAACGTTGCATTCTCTTATCACTGATGCTGCATCTCACATACTTTAGACACGTTTTTAGGAAGTGCCAGTCATCACGAAAAACTATTACATTTGGAAAAGTAGAGACAGAAAGAGGAGAAGATACAGTGATGACAATAATGGGCTGGCATGGTGGAGATTCCAAGGATGACACAGGATATAATAGGGTTTTGACTGGTTGTTCAAATTCAAAGAGAATTTGTATTTCAAGTGATGAGATCCCTATATGATGGATAGTTGAATCATCTACTATTGCAATGTACTGGAAGGTTGTCACTTTCATGTATGTTTCAGCTTTTTACATAAAATAGAGCAATCCCAGAGGACACATAATATTGTTGGATGTCATCAAATAATCAATATTCAGCTCCTAGTAGCCCCATGTGACAGAAACCTATAGAGTTTCCCAGGTCATAATTTTTACAAAAGGGATCCTGGTGGCTGTTGTGGTTGTTGTTATGTGCCAGCGAGTCGTTTGCAACTCATAGAGACCCTATGTACAACAGCCCTAAACCCTGCTCTATCCTGTGCCAATCACACTGCCTCTGACACACCCATCCCGATTACCCCAGTCACTGAATCAATCCATCTCATAGAGGGTCTTGCCCTCCTGCGCCATCCCTCCACTCTCCCAAGCATGATTTCCCTCTCCAAGGACCTGTCCCTCCTTGCAACATGCCCAAAGTATGTCAGGCGAAGCCCCAGAATCCTTGCCTCCAAGGAGTAGCTTGGTTTAACCCTCTCTAGGATGAATTTGTTTGTTTTCTTGGCAGTCCATGGTACATTCAATACTCTTCTCCGGCACCACAGCTCAAAGGCGTCAATTCTCCTTCTATCCTCCCTAGTCATTGTCCAACTCTCTGATGCATAACAAGTGATTGCAAAGACCATGGCCTGTATCAGATGCACCTTAGTCTCCAGAGAAACACCATTGCTCTTGAGTACTTTAGAGAGGTCCCTAACAGCAGACTTTCCATCGCAATATGTTTTTTTATTTCCTGGCTGCTGGTGCCAAGAGTGTTGACCATGGAGCTGAGCAAACTGATGCTGTGAACAATCTCAATCTCTTCGCCATCCATCCTGATGCTACCGATTGGTCCAGTGGTGAGAATCTTTGTCTTCTTGACATTGAGCCTCAGTCCACGCTGAAGGCTGCAGTCCTTGACGCTCTGCAGCAAGTGCATGAGGTCCTCCTCAGTTTCAGCAAGCAGGGTTGTATCATCTGCATAACGCAGATTGTTAATAGATCTTCCACCAATCCTGGTGCCACAATTCTCCTCATAGAGCCCAGCCTCTTGGATAATCTGCTCTGCATACAGGTTGAAAAGGTATGGAGACAGGACACATCCCTGGTGTACCCCCCCCCCAGTTTTGAACCATGCAGGGTTCCCTTGCTCTGTTCTGACAACTGCCTCTTGGTCCAAGTATAGGTTTCGCATTAGCATGATTAAATGTTCTGGGATTCCCATTCTTCTCAGAGTCAGCCACAGTTTTTTATGATCCACACAGTCAAACACCTTTGCATAATCAATAAGCACAGATAGACATTCTTCTGGTATTCTCTGCTTTCAGCTAAGATCCATCTAACATCAGCAACAATATCCCTAGTACCACGACCCCTTCTAAACCCAGCCTGGACTTCTAGCAGTTCTCTGCTGATGTGCTGTTCCAGTCGGTTTTGGATAATCTTCAGTAGAATCTTGCTTGCATAATTTTTACAAAAGGGATCCCAGTGGTACAATGGCTAAATGCAAGGCTGCAAACCAAAAGACTGAAAGGCTGCTAGATTGAGCCCCCCAGATGCCTTCAGGAGAACGATGCCCCAGTCTGCCTATAGGATCATTCTGCTCTGTTCTGTAGGGCCACTTGAGTCAAAATGCCAGGGTTTTGTGTTGCTTTGGTTTTTTTTATCCACAGAATAGCCACTGTGTTCAAACCACTGACCTGTATGTTAGTATCCAAGAGCTTTAGTCATTGTGTCACCAGGACTCCTTAGACAACATATGTTTTTATTAAGTATGATTGGGTTGGCTCCCCCTCATAGTGACTCTGAGAGCCCCAGGTTGAAGCCTTGGCCTGCCCTGCTCCCTCCTCATAGCCTCCTCCGTGCTCCAGCCATTGTTGCGGTCACCATCTATCTCATTGAGGATCTTCCTCTTTTCATCAACCTTCTGCTTTTCCAAGCGCGCTATCTCTCCCTAAGAACTGGCACCTCCTAACAATATGCCCACAGTGTATGAGACCAAGTTCCACCATCCTTGCTTCAAAGAAGCACCCTGGTTACCCTTCCTCTAAGACAAATTTTTTCTTTTGGCAGTCCATGGGATATTCAGTACTCCAGCACCACGATTCAAAGGTATCTATTCTTCTTTGGTCTTCCTTATTCATTGTCAGACTCTCAGATGCTTAGGAAGCAATTGAAGAGTGCATGGCTTGGATCAGGCGCACCTTTGTCTTCAATATGACATCCTAGCTCTTGAGCACTTTAGTGAGTACTGGTGGTTCACTGGTAGAAGTCTTACCTTCCACACTGGAGATCTGGGTTTGGTTCCTGGATGGACAACATGTAGTATGCATCAGGTATGTACTGTGGAGCGAGATGTCAAAGGAATTCAGGGAACAATCATAGAGGGACTTTGAGGAAACGAAAGAGCCAGGAGAGTTATTGTAGAAATATAAAGATAACTAGTAAAACGTGTCTGAGGACCCAAGGCAGGAGAGTAGGAGCAGAGCGGTGAGGATTGGCAAGGGAGGAAATCATAGCGTTGCACAAATTGAAGGGTGGAGGGAGGAGTGGGCAAAGGAAATGGTAAAGATGCAGCAGGAATCTGGAAAGACAGAGTAATGGTGGGCATAGTTCCATGTTGATTAAGTTTATAAAATACAATGAGTCAGAATGATTGTATGAAACGCAATGTGAATGAAGGACAGTGTGAAACACAAGGTTTATGAACTTTGTCAGCAAATCAATATAAAACGAAAATTAAAAAAAAAGACAGGTGAGGCAGAGTTGTGGGACATACTAGAAAAAGAGGAGGAGAGACTGATGGGGAAATGAACGTGGTGCTGGGAAGACTGTTCTGTGTTAGTATAGTTTTAAAATAAAGAAGTAACAGGAGATGAGACTAAAGAAGAAAGTTGTTATTGTTGTTGTTAGGGACCGTTTAGTTGGAACGGACCCATAGATGACCCTTCAACAGGTTTTTGGAAGCAGCCAATCACATGGGAGGATAGTACCCATCTTTCTCTTGCAGAGCAACTGGCTGGCAGTTTCAAACCACAAGCCTTTGGGTTGGCAGTTCACCCTTACCACTAAGCCTCTGGAGCTCCCTGGAAGGAGAGGAGTCAGTTTATACACACATGCAAATGCTGCTATCAAATGTGAGCTATCAAGTCAGAACTCACTCATAGTGGACCCTACAACAAGCCTTCAGTAAATCACACAGGGGAAGACTGCCCATCTTTTTCCCACAGAGCAGCTGGTGGACTTGAACCCTGTGCTTTTGGAAGAATAGTGCAGCTCCTTACCCACTAGGACACAGAGCAACATACCCATAAAGTAAG